AAGACGTTCATCACCAAACAATGACAACCATCCGCTTGTCCACAACTCACTATCTTTGTAAATACAAGCATTGAAACAATCCACTGAAAATCGCCGCTACCTATCGTTTATGTAGCATATACACGAGGGGAGGTTCAACCAATGCAATGCGACGAAAGGGACAAAAGCCTCTTGATACGATAATGTAAATGATCCAATCTCGCTTCCCGACCTTCCAATTTCTATTTCCCCTTCCAATCCAGAAAGCAACCAAGTGATCCACATCTTGCACATATGAGCTGGTAGCACGATACACTTCTAAAGATGATGTTGAATCCAAACTTCATTCAATGAAAAAGCTGAAGCATAGTACATGGTAATATGGATGTTTATCAAGTAAATAATACGACAAAGGAGCAGGATTGAATAAGAAGCGGATGAATCACATAGAGGGGATAGGGATAATTGTGTCATTGTATTCTTTGTTGCTGCCGTCATCATCATCCTTCATCCATCATTGTAAAATAGCTGCTGCATGCATCGAATCGAGCACTCCAACACCTATCCATGGCTGTAACCACCTTCCGCCAAAGATACAAGCCCTCTTAATCCATCATCATCCTCAGCCATATCCATGCGCCACGTGCATCGTTCCTGCTGACAACGCGACAAAAACCAAAAGAGACATTCCATCTTTCCCAATCACTGCACTTGGTTACATCCATCCATCCATATCCATTGCAAGTCCAATAATGCTACTGACATGCTTCCTTTTCCACCAGGGTGTTGGTCCATCTCTTTCTTGATCATCTCCTATCGCAGCTCAACTAAGGTGATCATGGCTTTGCATCGTGGCGTACTTGATAGCTGATATGGCATCATCCATAGGAATTCGTATGTATTGAAAGCAAGTTGATGACACGTAAACAAAGCTGCTCCCATGCAATGGCTATCTGTTGTCCAGGTAACAAAGGATGCAAGGCAGGATGCTGCAAGTGAATAGCACTGCTTGAGACAATAGACTAAGCTGTTACGTTTGGTAGTGGCAGAGGAGCGTGCAATAGCGTGTGTTGTAGTAGTAGAGTGACAAGGTTGTGAACGCTGTATGAGACAATGGAGTAAAGACATCGCCAATAGCAACTGCTGGAATGAACGCTGTTACGTTTGATTGTCGTCGACGATTGTACAAGAGAAGGTGAAGTGTCAAGAAACGCGGGTGTTGTAGTGGGCTGCACACGCCATGGACTTGCCATTCAGTCAAAGACAATGGGATCAAGAGAGCTGTAGGATTGACTGATGGGTAGCAGCAGGACAATCGTTCGCAGGTGTAGTTGTATACTTGAATGGGGCAACAATTGGGAATGGGAGTAAGAGGGAAGAGCTGAGAGTGGGAGCAGTGGAAAGTAAATCGGTCGGACACCTCTTGTATAATTGCATGAACACTGTACATCAATCCTTGATATTGAGATTACCCCTCTCGAACCTGAAACTTTCACACAAGGTACTCTGGGACATGCTGATCAATATTGTTTTAAAAAAGACCTCATGTTCATTTAAAAATATTGAATGGGAGGGTACAATGTGGGATTTACTATGGAGATCGGAAAGCATGTCAGCGCCGGGTTCATGATTTATCGAAATAGAATGTATTACCTGGGGATTCCCCATCTCGAACATGAAACTTTGTCAGAAGGTTCGCTGGAACATGCTGATCAACTTCATTCATTTAAAAGTCGCAGACTTCATTGTGAAGATTTAAAATGCGGGGGTGTCCAAACGGTGGATGACGGGCAATAAAGAGTGAACGGCCCACCGCCCCGAAGTTGTTCACCTCCAACTTGAAAATGGGTCAGAAGGGTGCTCTCGAGCATGCTGATCAGCTCTTTCTAATAAAAACTTCACGCTTCATTTGAAAATTTGGAATGAGAGCGTCCAAAAGTTTGAAAGACGGAGACATTCGCAGGGTCTGCGATTCATTTATTTTCATGTTTGCTGTTCCAGCGTAGCTCAGTCAAATCAGCTCGGATCAAGAAACTTGAATGATGGAAATGCTCGGCTGGAGCAGGAGAATCATTTCCATGCAGTGGATTTTGCAACAATGTTGATTGTGAGGAATTGGCTGATAGCGTGCACCATATGGACTATTATGGATAGACCATAAAGTAAAATCCATCAATCCTTCCAGTCATGCAAATGTTGACGATCTTTATTGACTGCCTTTTGCTCGCAATCTGCATACAAGCCAGCGTTCATAATCAGTACAAGAAAACACAAAGACAAAAGGGGATGTAACGTGCAAAGGGAAACAAGCGTACCAAGGTAGTAGCAAAAAGCAAAGACTTCAAGGTGTGAAACCTTATAGATAGCAGCGACAGGAAACAATAAATGGATACTACATTATACAAAGATGATTGCTTAGCTACACCATCAGAGAGATAACGACAAACGACATGCGTACGTGCAAAGAGTAGATATACGATAGAAACTTGAGGCCAATCCTAGGCCAGCGACAATGATACAAAATTGGGAAAAGAGGATTCCTCTTGTTTATTGTTTGAACTGCTTTGCTATTTATATGGATTTGGGGTTGCTAGGATCACAATGTACAGGCATTAGTGCCATGCAGGCAATGTCTGCTGCTTTACCACACAAAGTAGCTGTGTTACACAAAGAAGTCCTTCTGCATCTCCGGCTGTATCAGGGTCAAGCTACTTCACAATGAACAACGACCACTTTTCATATAGCACCACGCTTACAGCATATGTAAAACATAAAGACAGCCATATCTCAAAACCTTACAATGAAGTGTGGGGTCTTTAAGAGAACAAGCTGCTCGGCTGAGTCAAAGCGATTTGTGTCAAAGTATGAAGTTCATCGTGGCCATTCCCAGATTTCGCAATGTCGCTACCAGCCAAACTGGATCCGGGGGTCGACCTCTTCGACGACGACGACCAAAAAAATATTTTTTGGGCTGTTTGCGACATTACGCGAAACTTTCACACAAGGTGCTGTTGGCCAAGCCGAGCACATTGCTCTAATAAAAACCCCACGTTTCATTGTAAAGTTTGGAGATACAGGCGTCTTTATGTTTTACCTATGCTGTAAGCGTGATGGAGCTGCTTTTTCCTAGTGGATGGTGTCGACTGCATGAATGGAAAGATGGAGAGCTGGGTGAAATGGCACGTGGTGGTTACACAAACGCGCCCTTGACAGGTTGCTACCCAAATGGATGATGATGATGATTGCCTTTTGTGAAGGTAAGAAAGTAAACAGCATCCAATAATAAAGGGGTGTCAAGGTATGCATCACATTTGCATGTAGAAGAAAGTCGAGCTGCATAAACCAATTTGTACATGTTGATGGGTCACTCATCCTGAAACTCAATGGAGGGATCTCTCTAGTTTTTCTCTCAAGGTCATCCCACTCCTCCTTGTTGTATCACAAAAGGCATAAACTTCTTGCCTGACGGATAGCTGTACCATCTTTCTTATCCCATTCTCGAAGCAATAACATGTAATCCACTAGCCAGCAAAGTCTAAGTGTGTAATAAACAATGTTTTGTTTTATTTCATCTAGCTACCTTGCCCCCATCGTCGTCTACATACCATCCGTCAACATTCGTACTCCTACTCGTTAACAGTCGTCAAAGCCGTGATCACAATCATCCAAAAACATACAAGTAGAAAACAATGGGATCTTGCAGGCTTCCTTTAAGATGTCAACAAGGTACATATGGGGCTTGATCCAACAGCGGAGCTTACCTCATTGGATACTGTGGATTTGAAGCTCTTGGGAGGTTGTCATGGAAACAGCTTGCGCAGCTCTTTTGACCTTGACTTTCTTTCTTGTGTTGCTCGATGGCCTCGGTAGTGTCGCCCTAGCGAGATGTCCCTCTCATGAGTGCTCAAGAGTCGCTGTGTTGCTCGATGGCCTCGGTAGTGTCGTCCTAGCGAGATGTCCCTCTCATGAGTGCGCAGATGGCATTTTTACTCTCTTTTTTTCTTCCTTTTTTCTTCCTTTTTTCTATTGTTCTCCCTTTTTTTGTTATCGTTATCACCATCATCGGTGCCGTTAGATTGTGCTGGTGCTTCCAAGAAGGTAATAATGTGTCTCCCGAAGATACTAATAGTCGTTTATCTACCACAGGTCTATCATTGTCATTGGCGTATCAAGGGCAAGGAGATAACAAGGCATCGATAGCAACCATGGCGGCCGTTTCGGTGGTTTACCCTTATCAATTGTTTCGCTTTATTTCAGTTGTAACAGCGTTCAATATACTCTATACTTTATTGGATTTTGAATCATTCATCATATCAGTGTTTTGTTGTACTGAGGAGTGAGGGGGTTTGCACTGGAAGCTAGTACTGAGGATACATGTCGACGTTAGCTATTCCACTTACTTTGATAGCTTTATCACCTAAAGGTTAGATTACATGCGATCCGATCATCTTGGTTAAATGAATAACACAGATTCTCTGCTGTACCCCGGAAGCTCTTACTATATCCAAGGATGATATTGTATACTTTTAAACCATTTTTTTGGAGGCAACAATCGCATAGTAAATACAGCAGAGCAGAATGTGTAAGATATGAAAGGCTTTATTACATAACTGCAGCGACTACACACGATCAGCAAGTGGAAGTCGAACAACAGCTACTTGATGTTATAGTCTTCTCTAGTACAAAAAAGCCTAGTAGGACAAGCCGAAATCATCATTTTGATCAAGTCAAGCATATAGAGCTTCATTCCATCACCTACCACTTTATTATGAACTACATAACCCCACTTGTACATTAAAAATGAATTTGAATCAGTGCAATGCATCAATTTTGAAGCCATGGACTTTGATTTATAGGGCGACTATTATGTGGCCAAGCATGATGGGAGAGAGAGATGATATATGAAATAGCAGGGCGTGCGTTGTCGGTACTATCTATAGCTGTCAACAGATCTCAGCCGCAATTTCATGGTGCGCGTTGGTGGGGAGTAGCCATAGCCGTGTATCGTTCAGCCTGCAACCATGTTTAAAAAGTACGACGTTATTCCCATTGCTACCTGTTGATAAGGCTCTCTTATTCAACCCATGTTTAATACTATACAGATTCAGCTTTTCCGAGAACATTGCTGGACAATCCCAGCTCAAATCCTCTGTTCAACGCGCTGTACGCACCAAACTCCAAGATCAGTTTCCAACACTTGAGCCCATTATGGACGAGTTGATCCCCAAAAAGACACCCATCATTCAGATCAAGGGGTAAGAGCCAATATACTATTGGGTTGTATCATGTATCAAGTTCATAACGTGTGTATGTATGATATGGATAGCCACGAGCACCTTACCTTTTTGTCAGTCAACGGAGTGATCTTGTTTTTCCAGCACTTTGATGGCCCTTACTTTCCTACTTTGAAGCTTTTGCACAAGTGTAAGTAAACCAACATGATGTGAAGTGGCATGCATATTGATACGTTGATGGTATATAGATCCTGATCTTCTTCCCAAGTTGCAAGTGGATCGTGGTGCCATCAAATTTGTCTTGTCAGGTGCTAACATCATGTGTCCTGGTTTAACTTCCAAGGGTGCTCGCATGGATGTGGACTTGCCAGAAGAATCCATGGTGGCTATTATGGCCGAGGGAAAGGAAAACGCATTGGCTATTGGTTGGCTCAAGATGAGCACAGAGGACATGTAAGTTATTAGGATGGGAGGGAGTAATGTTATCCAACCTGATCTTACTTTTTTGCTACTTTTAGTCGCAAGAAGAACAAAGGTATCGGATGCGATAATATCCATCATCTTAACGATACCCTGTGGAAGGAAATTGTACGTGCGTAAATCATTCATGCGAGAATACAATTATTATTTTGGATTACTATTATTATTTGTTCCCTTGCGGATGGGTTTGGAGATGATGCCTCGTTATGTGAGATAAAAGTAAAGGTGGGCTATTGTGAGGATGATGGTGGTAGATCCTATTAGCTAGAGACTGGGTTGTCATGGAAACCAAATGGGAGCTTCTTTAACAGTGATCACGTGAGATATAGAGGGCTCTTGTGGAACCCCGATAGAAAGAAAAAGGCGGGCCAGGGTGGGCAGAAAGTTTTCATTCCAACCTTGAATATGATACCACGCGTTATACAACGAACAGCTACCCACATTGCAAGATCGCCACGATCACAACTCACATTACCATGCTATCGTTGCAACCACTCGAATACGTCACAATCAGAATCCGATCCTGAACAAGACGACTTGTTGTCCAAGATTCTCGACTATAAACCACCTACAGCACCGACAGACACCTCCCATGCAACCACAAAATCATCATCCAAATCCAAGTTTTCATCCAAAGAGACTCGAGATTTCGGCAAATTATTGGATGCATTATGGAGCGAGAGTGATAGTAAAGCCACAGTACCACAACAACAACAGCCATCCAGTAGTGGTAGCAGTAGCAGCAGCAGCAGCAGCAGCAAGAGGATTAAGCGTATACATTCATCGATCGAAAAACAATTACTCGATATGGTACTTCGACAAAGCAAACCACACAAAGCGAAATCACCCTTGCCACGCAGCTCGCTTGCTTCATTTTACAAAGGCGAGAAACAGAGTCAATCTTTACCAGCAACACCCACTTTATCCGTCAAGTCCGATGTGACACTGAGTGATCGTGATGAAGAAAATAAGGCGATTGAATCGATCTTGGCATGCAGATCGAGCGATTCACTTGTACATTTCATGAAGAGGCAATTGGAAAAGTGCAATACGACTGATGAGAATGGCTATCCACGACCTTTGCCTCGGTATTATGATCGATTAATCGAACGAGCTGTCAATCATGCAAGTATGACATTGAAGGAACCTTATTTGGCAGTGGCGATCTTTGAGCAAGTCAAGGCGAGCAGCATTGAGAGCTATGTATCAGGCTGTACGACGCAAGTGTACAATGAATTGCTATCGGTGCGATGGAAGGCATGGCGAGACATACATGGAATGATGACACTTGTTGAAGAGATGATGTCTAATGGCATTGGCTATGACGGCAATACAAGAAGGATTATACAAATGGTGATGAATGAAGTTGAAACGGAGATGGATCTTGACAAAGAAAAGCATGGATTTGTATGGAGTATGGATGAAAGAAGATCAGTGAATATAATGAAAGCGTTGGTTAGCAAATGGTCAATAAAAGGATGATTTTATTGGTGCAATTCTTTTTCGGAAGCTGTCAATAGCCCTCCGTGCCTGAGTTATAACTATTGTATGAAAGCTTGAACAATCGGCATTTCACATCATCCTCTTTTTATCTCTCTCTCTCTCTCTTTTATCCGCCCCATCCCATTCCATCACATCCCCCCTCCTCCTTTGAAGAACTACGATAAAGCATCATGGTCACCACTCGTAACAGTTCTCGTGCTCAAAGAGCCACTGGTGCATCCTCCTCGTCTTCCCAATCGGGTCACACAACTCCAAGAAGCCGCCGAGAAGCTACAAGCAGCTCTGATCGCCCCAATGTGATCACTGTTTTATCAGACGACGACAATGACTTTCAAGACTTGATTCTACCAGTACGACGACGACGAATGGAACCCACCACAACGACACCTGTGCGCAGTAGCAAGCGTCTCAAGCAACGTGATCAAGGTGCTGCGGAAGGCGATCGCAAAGGCAAAGGCAAAGGCCGAATGACACTCCCCACACCGATTGTGTCAAGCGATGACAGCACAACGTCCACACCCACGGCAGACCTTGAAGACACTGTACAAGAACCATTGGAGGTCAAGCAAGAGGATGTTGAACCAACAGCTTCCCACCAGTCTATCAAGCAAGAACATGGCATGACCACACTTGGACAGCAAGGTAGCATCACATCTCATACGTGCTTCTATAATACAATACTCACGTACAACATTTAGATGCCAAGTTGCTTGAAGACACATTGGAGAATGTTGTCGTATGCAAGGGTGAACTTGATGAGCTTGGTGAAGCGATTCTCAAGCAAAATGCGTCGGCGGCGATGACGACTCCTCAAGAGGATGATGAGAAGCCCAAAGATGAAGAACATGATATCAAGGATGAGGATGATGAGAAGCCCAAAGACGAGGAACAAGATGTCAAGGATGAGGATGATGATCTTGGTGCCACACTTGTTGAACAAGACATGGTTGATGGTACATTGGTCCATGATGAAGAAGCTTTGAATGCTACATTGGAAGATATCAAAGGCGAAAGCAGCAGCAGCAGTACCGATATTGGTGCTTCATCCCCAACTCCAGGCTTTGATGATGCTTCCTCTACCACAACGGCTGGCACTTTGAATCCAAACAACATTCGGCTAAGCGTCCCTCCCACTGATACTGAGGCCGAGGATGATGACACCAGCACAATCGAAGATGAAGATGAGGAAGCCCTTTTGGATCAACAACCTCGTCGGTTTCCTGGGACTGTAAATCCTTCACGTGCCAACATCAATGTAAGTTTATATTCTCATTCACTCATTCTTGTTATTGACATCATGCTTGTACATAGGCCAAACGCACTACAAGAAAGTTACTGGCTCATCATCCAGAGTTGGCCAACGTTTGGGATGAACTTGATAATGCCATTTCAGCCCCTGTCAAGCCTGTTGAACAACCCGAAAAACTCAAGCTTTCTTTGCTTCCATTTCAGCGTCATGGTGTTGGCTGGATGCGACAACAAGAAGAAATCAACGATGTAAGTATGGATGTCAACCTACATCTATGGATCTCTTTTGCTCACCTCATTGTCGAATCATTCTAGTTCAAGGGTGGCATTCTTGCAGTAAGTTACACAATGAGTGTCCTTTTATTGCTCTCTTACTAAAACAGTGATGTAGGATGAAATGGGTATGGGAAAAACTATCCAAACGATCGCTCTGTTACTTTCCGATGAAGAGAGCCCCAATCTTGTCGTTGCTCCCACAGTAAGTCTTCTTTTGTTACTTTCATGCATCTCATGTAATTTAACTCATTTGATTCCAGGTGGCCCTCATGCAATGGAAACATGAAATCGAAAAACACACCAACAACGCTTTGAAGGTTTGCGTCTTTCATGGTATGTATACCGCATTTATCTTTTACACAACGGCATTCTTTCTCACAAGCAACCCTCTCTCTCTATAGGCGATAAGCGACCCAACAAAGTCCGAGTATTGCTAGATCATGATGTCGTTCTCACTACTTGTAAGTATACAGAAGAACGATGAACGTTTCATTGTACTAATTATATCATTTGGATTGAAGACTCGGTTGTTGAAACTGCCTTCCGTTATCAAGAACATGGCCGAACCAAACAGGGCAAACTCGTGAAGGAGAAATCGATCCTGCATCAGGTTCAATGGCACCGTATTATTCTTGACGAGGTATGGATGGACTTGCTTTCGACATAAAACAATACCCTGATGATGATCCCCCAGGCCCACAACATCAAAGCTCGATCTTCCAATACAGCACGTGCAGTGGTAAGTTTTTCCAAAAGACGGGTTGATCCATTGAAATAACATGCGTTGCGTAGTTCAACTTTGAATCCAAGTTCAAGTGGTCCTTGACGGGTACACCTTTGCAAAATCGAGTCGGCGAGTTGTATTCTCTTATCCGCTTTATGCAAGCTGGTACGTTTTGTGTAACAAGGTGATAAGCGGATCTCTAAATGATGTTATGCATCTATGCTATAGATCCTTTTGCCTATTATTACTGCAAGGATTGTCCATGCAAGACCATCAGTTGGCAATTTTCGGATGGCAAATCCTGCGACCAGTGTGGTCATCGTCCAATGGAGTATGTCTGACTTTGAATAATGGCGACCTCCCCCTTATTGACAACATTTTTTCATAGCCATACTTGTTGGTGGAACAATGAAGTGCTCAAGCCGATTCAACACAATGGCTATGTTGGCGAAGGTCGTATTGCTATGGAAAAGCTTGGAAAGTTGTTGGATAAGATGATGCTTCGACGAACCAAGGTCCAATGTGCCGATGATTTGGGATTGCCTCCTCGAAAGGTGGTCGTGCGTCGCGATTACTTTAGCGCTGAAGAAGAAGAGGTTTATCGTTCACTCTTTTCGGATTCTGCCCGCCAATTCTCTGCTTATGTGGAACAAGGCATGCATTACGACTTATTTTGTACTTGGTTTTTCTTATACTCATGGATAAATTATAGGCTCTGTGCTCAACAACTATGCCAACATCTTTGAGTTGCTCACCAAGATGCGTCAAAGTGGTAAGTAGAATGGCTACGAAACATGATGGGATGATTATAGGCCAACCCACTCTTTTTTTTTTATTTCTACAGCCAACCATCCTGACCTTGTGTTGAGAAAGACGGGTGACGATCAACAACTTGTGTGTATGCTCTGCAGTGATACGCCGGAGGATGCAATCAGAGCCCATTGTCGCCACATCTTCTGCCGAGATGTAAGGATGAATATGAAGATGATGTGCAATGTTGATAAGGATGATGACTCATCTATTGATTTGTTATAGTGCTGTATTCGATACCTTGCAAGCTTTGATGACGAAGAGGCTCCTATGGATCAAGGACCCAAATGTCCAACATGCTTTGCCCACTTCCTCGTCGATTTGAGTCAACCTACAGTGGAACTTCAACACGAAGCAGGTTTACATGCCACATACGCAAAGACCAGCATTGTCAATCGTATCAACATGGACAAGTGGCGAAGTTCAACGAAGATCGAGGCGCTTGTTGAGGAATTATCAAAGTTGCAAGCTGAGGATCGTACTATCAAGAGGTAAGAATTGAAAACTATGACCAAGGTGTCATCACACAGGCTCATCAATCAATGTCCCCTATTTTCTTTATTATAGCATTGTGTTTTCACAGGTAAAAGCAAGAACGATGTCATTGGAATGTACAAGGGATACTCATAATAGCTGTGTTTAGTTTGTCAACTTCCTCGATTTGGTCTATTGGCGTCTCTCTCGTGCAGGCTTCGAATGCATTCGTTTGGATGGTACAATGTCACCGCAACAACGCGATGCTGCCATTAAACAGTAAGTATGCTTGCTTAGGGTGCTCATTCATCTCTAACATGATGGCTCGTTTTATAGCTTTAACAACAAGCCAAGCTGCACTGTGTTCCTTATCAGTTTGAAGGCAGGTGGTGTCGCATTAAATCTGGTTGAAGCAAGCCGTGTCTTTATCTGTGACCCTTGGTGGAATCCAGCCGTCGAATTGCAAGCCATGGATCGTATTCACCGACTTGGTCAGCGACGTCCCATCAAGATTACACGATTGATTATTGAAAACAGTATTGAAAACCGCATTGTCCAATTACAAGATAAGAAGACGGCTCTTGTGGATAGCACAGTGGGTAAGTAAATAGGAGGATACATGGAAAGGTCCCAATGCTTTTATTCATGGGTTTTGTTGTAGGTCGTGATACCTCTGCTTTGGACAAGCTGAGTGCCGAAGATCTTCAATTCTTATTCGTGATGTGATCAAGTCCACCGCCTCCTCATCATGATTCCATTTACTATTACTACTACGAACAACTACTTGCTGCATATACAACATTCATTCATACACACATAGTCCTTGCTTTACTCAAACAAAGTTTCTTTATTTGCTGATCCTTGTACAAAATGACAAGAGTGTGAATGGTGGTGATGGTGATGGTATACAACAAAAGACGAGGTTGAATGGCGTCCTTTTTTTCTTTCCCACTCCGTTTATTTAAACGCGAGCATTGATATGGGGTTTAGCTTGAACATTGACGATAGCATCCAACATCTTTTCAACAGCCTTGTCCTTGTTTGTGGCGAAAGCGTTTTGGATTTCACCAATCTTGACTTCGGTCTCTTGATCCACGGCACCAAGGCTGGCATCCGATGCACCCGAATGCTGTGTGTGAGTGAAATGTTAGATGCATCTATCCATGCACATCATATACACTCTCCTGGATATCGTTACCTGGGCAACAAAGTTTTGATACTCTTGGTTCTTTTGAGCCTTCAACTCTTCAATTTCCTTGGTTGCTTCGGAACGAGCGTCCTTGAGACGTTGGATACGATCTAATACAAAGTGACCTTGTTAGCAAGAGGATACCTTCCCCAAGTAGATAGAGAACTAGCAGGGTTACGTACATTGCTTTGCCTTTTGCACAATCTTGGCTGCTTCGCGTTCAGCTTCCAATAAAGTGTTGATTCCCTGCGAGCTCGATGCCGACTACAGGAACAATAGACCACCATTTTTTGTTAGAACTTCTTTAGCGGTATGGCCGTGGTTGCCATGCTTACCATGCTGATGAGTTGAGTAGTAGAAATGAAACAAAAGGAGATGGCGTTTCTGGTATGAGCAAGTGTATGAAGTGTAGGCAACCAACCGAATCCTTTGAAATGCCGCGTGGCCGGTGTGATACCATGCTCATCCACCCCGCATTTGTGTCAAGTGGTGTGTGTATGTATATACGTACGTTGATTCATGCCAACTGTAATCCATCCATCCGACTTGTCTCTTTGCACACTTATGACACCACAACCACCGTCACCACGATTCTTCATGAGTACGATATGCTACATGTTGTTGCATAATGTATGTACGAGTGGCAAAAGCATATGCTTGTTTCATGCATGTCTGTTGTTGAGTGAAATTGCCCACCATTGACCTTGATTTTGAGCATCTCCGGGCACCTTCCTCATCCAAGTGATGTAGAATCATAGCCCTCTCTTTGGATTATCTACTAATCATACCTCTTGAAAAAATCGAAGATCTAGAAAATCCGTTACTGCACACGGCTAAACTGGTTTTATTCTTGAAAGCAATCAAATTGTGGGGTTGGATGTACTCTCCTTACCACTTTTCTCTTTTGGTATTGGTCACTCACCAATGATGCATATGTACATAAACCTTCCACCCATTATAAATATACAGTAGGATTCATTTTTCCTTCCTGTCTTTATCTTCCCTTTCAAATACACTTTTTATCCTTGTCAACATGAAGCAAACTATCACTTTGGCTATGGTGCTTTTGGTGTCGTTGCTTAGCATCGCCCATCCCGCTCAAGCTTATGAATGTGTCAGCACTCCAAATCCTGGTGAACCATGCCCTGCTGGCTCCAAGCAACCAGAACCAAAAGAAGGCGAGATGAGTATTCGTATGTATTAGTTGGGTCATCCATGACGTGCAAACCTCAATGATGGCTAACATGCAAGCTTGTTAAATTTTCAGAATGTTGTGTCAAGGCTTAAGATATCCATTCAGCCCTTTGTTCCTTTCAGAGCTCATTTCAACAATATGGTCGAGAGTGCATCGTAGAAAAGCAAAGCACAAAGAAGATCTCACTTCAACAATAAAGGAAAAAGCATACGTTATCAACTAGATACGCTCCTGGTTAAGATGATTTCGATGCCGTAATTGGATAACATTGCTAAGTAGTATCCTTATTTATTCTTGTGGAAGATGTTTTGCGGCCATCCAACAGCTTTTGGTATATTCTGTACATCCCTTATGCATCACAAAGCGATGTACTGCGCCTCAAATGCATGGCACTGCAGTAGACAAGGGATGAGATTCGACAATCACGTGATGGGATTGGCATGTTGTTAGCGAGCAGCTATTAATGATACGACACTCCTTGGCATAATTACAGCAGCTTGGTATCCGCGCCATCATGTAGCATTATGGACGTATCTCGTTTACGTATTATGTCATGTCCTAAAAATGGTCACGGTTCGACCAAAGTGCATTGTTGTTAACCCTTTTCCTTAGCCAACTCTTTTGCTCGATCAAAATACTTACCTAATCCCTCTTGTATACATTGGTTGACCACTTTATCAGCCCAATCAATCGCAACCAGCTTTTATTTTTCATTCAAAGCAATTCCCACGCCTTATAGCTGTACATTAAAGCAAAGCTGATGTTGCCACGATGTTATCATACATCTTTTTTTCCTCTATCGCATTTTTTCGTGATCCCATATTTCAATCATCATCCCCCATCGTTTGGTACGTGCCAAATGGAGGCTATGCGGTGGTTCATAAACCCGTGGTACTCATCAAGCATTGATCTTTGTAATTATCCATGTAGTCATTGCGTTGTCCTTGATGACATTTGACCCTTCTCACTGACACGGGAATCCTTTGCGGTACATGTAAGGCTGTCAATATTGGTTTTCCCTTTTGATTATACATTGATGATTGTTTGATTAGTGAGATACCAAGGAAAAGGGGCTGGAAGGTCCTTTACAGCTTTACAGAAGATGCAACCCCAGTCGAGCAAAAGTTGTCGGGAGCTATTTTGTTGGGGACATCTCCTCAATGTGGCATTGTGCCCATGTCCTCTGATATTGGTCTCTCTACTACATGGTGTCGTACGCATTCCATGCCATCCTGAGCCTGCTGAGTCAAGTCAAATTGACATCAAAATGTGGCCAAAGGTTTTGATTTGGTGGTGCAGTAACAAACGATTCCTGTGTTTCCGGTTTGTCAGATTATCGTAACCACAAACAAGGCGAAGGCGAAGGGTCATGGCCGCCATGCTTCAAGTTTAGCTTCTATGTTTGTCAATGATTCGAAAGGTCAACCTTGTCATTGATCCTATACGGCGTTCAGCAAGTATATGATGTCATCGCTCCTCTGTGCTTTTCTTTGATTGTACGCTATATGCCACCAAGTTTCAAACGCGAAGTAAGATCTACGTTGTATGAGTTGGCAGGCGGTGGTTGGCCTGGCGTCAAGGCCCAGTGCCATTATTTGGACATCACAAGTGGAGAAGAATGAAACACTATGTTACCACCACAAGACTTGAAGGGTCGGCATGACATGCACAAAGGTTGTCACTGATACATTTTGTTCAAGAATATCGAAATGTGGTGGTCTATCTTTTCCTTCAACCTCCCATCAATTCTACAAGGTCACCTCCAAAGTACACATTGTGTAATCAAAGGTACGTCGAAGCCTTGTGTAGGATTGACATCATTTTGCTTATTCTCACGATTAACAACTACGTTATCTTCACAGCTGAGGATTTACTGAAGCGTCTGGAAGAGGTCAAATGGCCACACTTTGCTCATGGAAGATGGCATTTCTGTTATCTCAACAGCTGCTGCTAGCAGTAAACTATACGAGGATTTGCTTTCCGATCCACAGAATTACAAGCACTCATAGCCTTATGGAATGGAGATATTTTAAGCCTTGATCCAGGTAATCATGTACGAATGCATCACATCTCGAATACGCTACTAAAAGAACATGTTCATTTAGCATTGCGCATGGTGAGAAAGTATCGCTGCAGCCGACTTTGGGATGGGTGCATTACATGGTATGATGTATGTATGGCCTCCGCTGTGGGTGAAATTTCAGGTCGTTTCCCTCTACGCAGGCGATGATCTCATGCTATGATGGCTCAAGAACCAACAAGTCCTTGGATTCAGCAAAATGACCATGCCGTTACTCTCGCCACCGATAGGATCTTTCGACATTATACACCCGGGAGCGTTATTCCACAATTTGCAGCTACTTCAAAAGGGGGAGAAGAGTTGCAGGTTTATGAATTCAGGCCCATGTTTTCTGTAATGGATCAAGTAAGTTACTCGTAGGTGTAATTTGCTCTCATCTGATCTATAATTCATTGTGACATGTGCAGGTTGTATCCAAAGCGATTATGAGATGTGCTGCAAAGAGCCAAAGAACAATATTCATTTTACTATGCATCAGCTCTAGATCGTGCACAAGTGTCCGTATCGTCTGACGGCAATACGTATGAAGCAAAGAGTGAGCTCTATGCACTTAGTGTAAGCGAACATCCATGATCAAGAAGAACTGGATTCAATGCTTAACGGTGAAGGCCACTTTACAAAGATGTACCAAGAAACCGCCAATGACAATGTGGCCATCCCCCTGAAGAGGAACAACACACGCACACATAGACATGATCCATTTGTTGAGAAGACAACACGTTTCACTCTTTGTAATCATCTCAGAATTGTTGTATTAGAGACGCTACCAGTAATAAAGGAATGTTTATTAGTGATCAAATACAAAGAGATAGGTTTAAGGGGGAATGATAGATTGTGATGAGCATGAATGAATGAAATCCTCCAATGTTTTGATATCTGCCATGTTGGGTCAGTGCGGTGCATGCGTAGTCGTCGCCGCCACGACGTCCGTTTTTTGTTTCTTCTTGACACTCTCCTCTATCTCCTCTCTCTCTCTCTCTCTTTTGTGTGGCCTTGTTTCAAACATACACACATCTAAATTTGCCAATCGAGAACAACACCACAACAAGATCGTCCAGGCACACACAATGCTCACGCGCAGCAGCAATAACAGTATTCGGCAAACGAACGCGACTCCTGAATGGGCACAACAACCAGACGATTTCACGCCCGTGCCTCAATCCAATGGTGCTGTTATGAAGCAAAAGGAGACGATGCCCCTTGGAGAACGTACTTCACTACCATTGCATTCCATTTCAACCGAGCATCGATACATGCGTTCAAGCAATAGCAGCAGCAGTAGCGGTGGATTTGGTAGCAGCAGTAGCACCAGCAATAGTAACAGCAGTAGTCCACGGCCGAGTCATGAACGTATCATGGAACCTGGCGAGTTTGATGATTTGGTGAACGACAAGCACTATTTATCCTCGGCTGATGAGGTGGATGAAGAAGATATGGAATCTGGACATGATGCAGGAAGTAGTAGTGAGAACGACGAAGACATGGTATCATCATTGAGTACGACCAAACGCCGTCGAAAAAGACCAGCCCTACTTTCTCGATCCAATCGACAAAAGCGACAAAAGCGACCCGTATCATCACATCGACGAAGACAAAAGCCATCCAAATCAAAATCAACCAGCAACAACAACAACAACAACAATAACGATCATCATGCTATCACTATGCCACCTATCACCTTGTCAATTGATCCTGAAGATCTCAAGTTGAAGCGTGTTTTGGGCGAAGGTCAAATGGGAATGGTGATGCTTGCCGAATATCAAAGTGTACCTGTCGCATGCAAATTTCGACGTGCAAAGAAACACAAGCAGACGTTTGAAGATGCTATCACTCGTGAACTTGCATTTGCTGCTCGACTCTCGGTGTGTCCTTACATGAATCCATGCATTGGCATTTTACGGTGCAAGCAAACAAGAGGAGGTCGATTGGTTCCAGGAGATGATCTCTACATTGTTCAACGATATTATGAAAATGGGGACTTGCGTGATTATATGGAGAATCTACAAGGTAAAAAGGTTGCTGGGATTGGGGAAAAGGAATGAATCATCCTTATTAATAATGATGATTAGACAACTACCTTCATGAGTCACAAGTCTTGCAGATTGCACTTACACTCTTTGCTGGATTGGCCGACGCTCACAGGATGAACATTGGCATTTTGGATCTCAAGTTGGAAAATATCTTGATCGATTCATGTGGATCAGCATGGATTACTGACTTTGGGTAAGTTGGATTGGGGGAGAGAAGGAAGTTGGGGGGATGTGAAAGCATATGCGTTGATAACGTCGGGGTTGGATATGGGTGTGTGTGTAAGGGGTGAAACAATCAAATGCTGACAAACTTTCACAAACCTAGGTCATGTGTCGAATTACGGGGTGATGATGACTGGATTGATTTACGTTATGTTGGTGTACAATGGACAAAAGCAGTTGCTGCTCCAGGTAATTCATTCTTAGTCAACACCAAAACTCCCACATGAAACTAATTTCATTTATAGAAATGTTACATCAACACAGCTTCTCAAAGAAATCCGATGTATTCATGGCCGTATCCATCATTGCCGAAGCACTTACCCCTCAGCTGAGTGACGAGGAATTCTCAGAGAGCGTGCTGACACGTGCCAAGAATGGAACTGTCAAGTTTAATCCTAAAAAGATTCATCCAATGTACCGTCATTTTGTTCCCATTCTCCAATCCGCTCTCAAGAATGACCCTGATGATCGGCCTTCAGCTCAACAAATCTACAAAGTCCTACTCGAGATGCGTGATCGATCCATGACGGATGGTATTCATCAACGAACGGTTACTTGAAAGAATCAGCTGCCAATGAAGCGACGTGTAAATATATCACCCCCATTTCAATATTCCCTCATCCTCCCGCAACAACTACAACAACAACAATTACAGCATCAATTTGGGTTCTCTATGCCTTTTCTTTTTTCACTTTGCTTGTAATAAACAAGGACACTGTACAGAAAAAGATGAATGTTATACAGGGTATCATATGGATGAATAAGAGAGATGTGTATGTGTGAGTGATTTTTACATGGCAATGCATTGATGCCTTGTAAAAGGGATTCGCCGTCGCCCACGTTGTTTGCTGGTATCTTTATTATCTTCTTCTTCTTCTTCCTGTTGTTGACTGCTGGATAGCCACCTTGCAGCTGTGAGATGACCTAATGATGCAGCTTTTTGAAACCATGGGATAGCCATTTCAGAGGAAGTCTCTATCCCAATCCCTCGATCGGTATACACGGCTACTAAATAACATGCCTTGGCAAGAATCCATCTATCGGTACCAAAACGAGCATGACGACGTGCAGCGTATTGAACCGCTTTACGAGCCCATTGATATGCATGATGATCGGATTGATCCATGTATGGATACGCTGATCCTGCAAGGCACAATATAGAAAAGATAATGGCTGCTTCAGGATGACAGCTTTGGTGAATGGCACGTGCATACCAATACACTCCCAATCCTTTATCTTGATCCATAAATCCTTCCAATGCATCACGTCCACCATATAGAAACCCCTGTGCCAGCTTCAATTGACTCGCAGCATGACCATGCTTGGCTGCGTCATGTAATAAATCAATCGCATATCGCTTATCGGGCACCACAAGGGCGTCTGTGTTTTCACTATAAAGAATGAGCATGGCAAGCATATACCGTGCTTCTGGTAACGATGCCAATGCACGTTGTAACCATGAAATGGCTTCACGAGCGTGAACAGGTTGTCCACAATAGCCGTACCAATACACAATTGCAAGCTTATACATGCTTGTGGGATGGGCAAGATGGGCAGCTTTGCGATAAAAAGTAAAGGCACGTCGTTCGTCATGGCATGTACCAATGCCAAGTTCATAGCATACGCCTGTACGATAGGTTGCTTCGGCATGATTTTGCTTGCTAGCTTGTGTGTACCAAAGAAACGCACGTTCATGATCCAATGGCACACCGAGTTGACCCGTACCATAACAATTGCCAAGTAAAAATTGAGCCTCTCCTGCCACACGCTTATTGGTAGCTGTGCTCACGAGTCGTTTTAGTAATCGAAATGCTTCTCTTCCTACACCATAAGCAAGTGACATTTGCTGTTGTTGTTGCTCTTGGGGTAGGTGCTCCGCAACTGTAACCAATTTTGGTTGGCTGTCGATCAGTGACATGCACAAGTGTAGCATCTGCAACGGATCGGAACATGCACGTTCACGCCATACATGCACTTGTTCCATGCTTTCTGGAAGTGTGGCCCCGTGATGTGATGTGGCTGGTGTGTGTGATGATAATAAAGGTGGCGTCATGATACGATGATGATTGAACTCAAAAGATGATGACGATGGTGATGAATGAATCAAAAGGTGATCGGGAGCCATGTGTCTGTAAATGGAAGAAAACTCATCATAAAACCATTGGTGTGCGGATTGTTCTCGGCGGTGAGATCGATATTCTTTTCCCATCTCAAGAGGGGGTGCTGATGTTGGCCCATCCTCTTGTGCTGTTGCTACTGATGGGCTACTCATGGGTGATGGCCAAACGTCGTCAACAAATGCAAGCGGAAAAAAGAAAGGTGAATGATGATGAAAAGCGGCCCAAAACGAAAGAAAAGCAATATGCAAGAGACAAACGCACAATAGAGCATCGCGTTGCGTTGCATTACAAAGGTCAATAATAACGTTTGTATGTAATTCTCCGAAAGACAAAAGCAGCAGCAGTAGTGGTAGTATGTAGCAGCAGCCGTGTATGTATGCATGTTGCATCATGCAATGCTCCTCCTCTGGATAAACGATACGAGGCGATGATTCATGGCGATACGAAGATCAGTCATCATCATCTTTGCTTCTTGAAAAACCGCTCAACTCAACACCCACTAATGCTCACACGCATTTTATCCTTACTACGTCAGTAGTAATGGCTAGTGCGGTAAATCAAAAGTATTGGAAGATCGTTCAGCCAGTTGAAATGTTGTCAAACTCCCCTGGCAAAATCTCCGGAGGCGACTTCAGGCGGCAAGGTGGTACAAAAGGCATGTGCAGGCTTCCCCGCATTGCTCCGTGATTGGCCGAATTAGGCAGTGCAATTGCTGTGGATGTCAAATGATTAGATCCATGCACATGAAAATTACGTCTTATCGCTTACACATAAATACATGGACCGTTTCACTTGGATTTCTCGGCCCCTTTCTTTTCTTATCTCTCTTTTGTTTCTTTAATCTTCTTTATTATCATCATGAGCAAAAACAACGACGGCAAAAAGACCCCTATCCTCACTCATTTGGTTGCTGGTGGTGCTGCTGGTTTCATGGAAGCATGCACCTGTCATCCATTGGACACGGTCAAAGTCAGAATGCAACTCGCTCGCAAAGCTCAAGTTAGCGCCTCTGTAAGTAACCTTATTACAACCCAACGTCTTTGACATGCATTTACTAATAACTTACTTAGGGAAGACGCCTTGGTTTCCTAGGTGTTGGTATTCGCATTGTGCAAAATGAATCTTTCTTCGCTCTCTACAAGGGTCTTGGTGCCGTCATTGGTGGTATCGTACCTAAGATGGCTATTCGATTCAGCTCCTTTGAGATCTACAAGGGTGCTCTCGCTGACGAGAATGGCGTTGTTAGCCGTACTGGTGTTTTCCTTGGTAAGTTGGCAACATCTAGTTATCAACCTCATACTTAATGTCTTCTTTGATTACTTATTGATGCTTTTTGACTCTTTAGCTGGTCTTGCTGCTGGTACAACGGAAGCTATTATGGTGGTTGGCCCAATGGACCTCATTAAAATAAGGAAATTTGATTGAACACGACCTTCTTGTCATTGCAATGTCACTAACTTCATAATCCAATAGATTGCAAGCACAAAGACATAGCATGAGCGATCCACTCGACGTACCCAAGTACCGCAATGGCGAGTCTTTTATACGATAATTATGACAAACGATGTGCTAACTCATGTTTTACAATAGCTCCCCACGCACTCTACACCATCGTCAAGGAGGAAGGTATTGGTGCTTTATACAAGGGTGTCGGCTTGACTGCCTTGAGACAAGGTATGTGGAATGGGAATTTGATAAAGGGATATGGGATATGGGATAACAAGGGCATTTTTATGAATGATGACTAAACGGTTCAATCCAGCTACCAACCAAGCTGCCAATTTCACTGCCTACCAGGAACTCAAGAAGCATGCTCGTAAATTCCAAAAGTTGGATGAGCTTCCTTCATACCAAACATTGGTGATTGGTGGTATTTCTGGTGCCATGGGTCCTCTCTCTAACGCACCTATTGATACTGTGAAGACTCGTATTCAAAGAGCTAACAACCTCACTGGCAACGCCTGGCAACGTGTTGTTACTGTGAGTACCGAAATCTATACCAAGGAAGGCTTCAAGGCATTCTACAAGGGCTTGACTCCACGTGTATTGCGTGTGGCTCCTGGTCAAGCTGTTACTTTTGTGGTTTACGAAAAGGTCAAATCATGGATTGATCTTTTTACTGAGAAGGTGCAAGATGGTGAATTGACCAAGCAGACTCAGTAACTTATTTCACCCACCCACGCCATCAATTCCCCCCGCACCTTATTCAACCATCATATTACAATTCGCAAGAAGACCCTCACCAACAAAATTGACCATCCTCCTGATATGTAACCTATATTATGTCATGAACACAACACAACACATTTTTGATTTCGCCTGTACACAGCATTTTCCCACCCATCCACGCCTTTATTGTATACTTTTTGGAAACCAATGGTAGAGTAGCACACACGCACGAGCGGAAATAGTAATAAATTTCACGTTTGCTGTATCCGGAAGCAACCGATCATTCCATCTTTTGGTGTTGACCCACCCCATCCAACTTGCTTATTCAAGCTGCTTCTTTAACACTCCGTCACACCCACCAACACCACACACGCAACACACACAGCACCACCAACCACCCCCGAAAAAGTCAACCAGCAACAAAGCCGCCTCATTCGCATACCGCAACATGTCCAACAAACGATCCAACACGGCAAGATCAGATCAACGCAAAAAGCGTGCCAAATCGTTCTTTTGTGCCAAGGTTCTTTCTTTGATCAGCTCCTCGAGATCGATCGTCATGTCTCTCATGCGTTGTGTATGGGGTTTTTAGGAACGAGTCAAGGCCTATGACAAATTTGCTATCCGGCCCAATATGAAGGGTGTCATGGTTACATGTACACGAGGAAAGGAGGCAGCCGCTTCCAAAGAAGTGATTGACATGTTTGAACAGGTATTATTAATCCTCTTATGATGCATGATGACACATGGCTGACACATGTATGTACTATTTAGTATGCTGCTGAAATGTATCCTGAAGCATTCAATGAGAACAAGGGTGATGACGATGATGATGATGAAGATGACATTGAAGCTGCCATTCAGAAGGAAGTTGCTCAATTGAAGAAGGGCAAAAAGAGAAAGTTCATCAATACTTCCACCAACATGGATTGTGGTAAGTAAGGGATGGGATGGGGTGGGGTCATCGGGAAGGGTATGTTGTCATGGGGGAGAGAAGAAGGGGGCCGTTTTGGGGGGGCCGGTACTTTGTGTGAGCGGAAACTTTATTATCTCGTTTTTCTGATTTGCTTATCTCTTTATAAACCTTTTTCCACATCAGTGCTATTCATCGAGACTCGGGATCCTATTGAGCCAGTACCATTTGTCCATCATATTCTTTCCGATTTGGCAAAAACTCAACGCAAACGAACGCGCTATGTCTCTCGCTTGTTGCCGGTGCAAACGACTTGCAATGCCAACCTGCCTGCCATAGAACAAAACAGTAAACCCATTTTGGCGCCCAAGTTTCACAATGACAATGATGATGAGCAACCTTCCTCCAAAGCGGTAAATGATTATTCCCACGCATATTGCTATGTATGTGCGTGCGTGATCGTCCACTTGTAAACTGACATGAGCCCCCATATCCCGATTTTTTCCAGTTTGCCGTGGTTGCCCGTGTTCGGAACTGTGATAAAATGGATCGCATGTCAGTGATCCAAACGCTTGCATCGGTAGTGGGTCCTGGTCATCATGTCGATCTGGATAACCCCGAGATCACTATCATTGCCGAGATCTGTCAGGTAAAAAGAAAGGCTGGAATCGAAAATGAACCATTGGATGATATCTAATGCATCATCTCTAGGATATTTGTATGCTCTCAGCCGTCGAGGATTTCAACGAGTTCAAAAAGTACAACATTGAAAGCATCATTTCAGCAGCCAAAAAGATAGACAAAGAAGAGAAGACGCAGGATCAAAAGCAAAAAGATGATTGAAGGGCAAAGGGATTGCATCAATGTACTTGAAGAAGATACCAGATTCTTGCTTGATTGTGGCATTCTTCCATATTCCTCAAAATACAAAGGTCACCTTTTTGATCTGTTACCTTTCATATCTATGCAGCGATTTTGGACGGCTCATCGGCACTGTCGGGGAAATGGATATAGCTTGCACTACGTCAGTACCATGCATATTCGAGATTACGATTGATAACTTTGATCTTGTTGGTCTCCGCGATTATCTTGACATAGCCGAATGCTGTACACGACAAAATTGACACCATTTGTATAATGAATAAGGGGCACCATATGGGATTGCAGCTTTCTTGTACATGGTTAAAGTGATGGTTGGCTTGGGGTCACCACGTTGAAGGGATGATTGTTTGCGTCTTATATGAGAGAGGGGACCATGAATTGGATTTCGATGTTGGGATGACCGATACAGAGGATAGGGTATACATTTAGACATTGGCTAGCAATAGTCTCCTGGGATACTGTAAAGAAAATAAATCCGCGTTATCGCATATCGATCTCAATCATCCGCACCTTGTGGTGTGCTTTGCGATGGGAACTACTATGCATCTTACAAGATCTAATTTTGTTACGGTGCATCAGCAGGATAAGCACAAAGAAAGGAAGGATTATGCTATCGAATACAGCCTTTGTTCAAGACACAATGAATCAATCAGACCCTATCTCTTCCCCTGTTTTCCCTTTATCACAGCATCTACAAGTGCATAGTTGCTTATATATCCGACATCTGCCATACTGTACCATAAACCTTTCTATACATAGCACAATGCATCATGTTCTCACACACGACGAGTCCCAACCCAAGAGAAGGAAGATCTTACAGAATCTTAGACATGGTTCGCCAATGCAGAGTCGTATCCGATAAAGGATGTAGCTTTTTATGTAATCCAACATCATTCGCAAGATTAGATCGAGAGGTACAACAAAATGCTTCAAGGAGGATACATCGTTATGGGTAATGCTATCATTTGGGGGTGCATTGTGTAGAGGTGGATGAATGCATGTGAAGAGGCGAATTATATGCATGGCGTGTCAAAACATGGAGCTGGATGATGATAGTAACAGCCATAGAATAGGGTGTAATGCAAGGTAATTCGATGCACCAATCGTGCAGGATGAAGTATCAAGCAAGTTGACAATGAATGCCCTCTTTTTTCACGCGTTGTATATACTCAATTCCTTCCATTCCATGTACCAAACCAGAGCAATATCCATATTCATATCCATAACCATATACAAATCCACATCCACATCCGTATCCATACCCACATCCATGTCCATATACCAAACCATTATCCATATCCATATCCATATCCGTAAGAAGTCGCATGTATTGAAGCAAGTTGCTACATGTAGCTAAGGCTGCTTCTATATAATGGCTATCTGCTGCACACGTGAACAAGGTGGTGGGGCAAGTTGCTGCACGTAAAGAACGACGATCGAGACAATGGCGTAAATAGCAACTGCAGCAATGAATGCTGTTACGACTGGTTGTGGCAGAGGAGTGTGCAAGAGCGTGTGTTGTGTCAAGACTCGTGTGTTGTAGAAGAGTGGCAAGAAGGCTGTGTACACGCCATCGACTTGCCATTCAGTCAAAGACAATGGGATCAAGAGAGCTGTAGGATTGGCATGAAGTGTTGAAGCAGGACAGTCGTTCGCAGGTGGTAGTTGTATACTTGAATGGGGCAACAGTTGGGAATGGGAGGAAGAGGGAAGAGCTGAGAGTGGAAGAAGTGGAAAGTAAATCGATCGGACACCTCTTGTATAAATGCATGAACACTGTACATCAAACCTTGATATTGAGATTGCCCCTCTCGAACCTGAAACTTTCACACAAGGTACTCTGGGATATGCTGATTATGTTGATCTAAAAAAGACCTCGTGTTCATTTAAAAACATTGAATGGGAGGGTACAATGTGGAATTTACTATGGAGATCGGAGAGCATGTCAGCGCCGGATTCATGATTCATCGAAATAGTATGTATTACCTTGGGATTCTCCTTTTCGAACTTGAAACTTTGCCAGAAGGTTCGATGGGATATGCTGATCAACCTCATTCATTTAAAAACCATAAGCTTCATTGTGAAGATTCAAAATGCGGGGGTGTCCAAATGGTGGATGAATGGCAATAAAGAGTGAACGGCCCACCGCCCCGAAGTTGTCCACCTCCAACTTGAAAATTGGTCACAATGGTGCTCTCGAGCAAGCTGATCAGCTTTTTCTAATAAAAACTTCCCCCTTCATTTGAAAATTTGGAATGGGTGCGTGCAAAAGTTTGAAAGACGGAGACATTCGCAGGGTCTGCGATTCATTAATTTTCATGTTTGCTGTTCCAGCGTAGCTCAGTCAAATCGGCTCGGATCAAGAAACTTGAATGGTGGAAATGCTCGGCTGGAGCAGGAGAATCATTTCCATGCAGTGGATTTTGCAACAACGCTGATTGTGAGGAAATGGCTGATAGCGCGTAATATATGGACTATTGTGGATAGCCATAAAGTATAATCCATCAATCCTTCCAGTCATGCAAGATAGCTGTGTTACACAAACACGTCCCTCTCCATCTTTTGCTCTGTCAGGGTCCAGCGACTTGACATTGAACGAAGACCACTCTTCATATAGCATCATGCTTACAAACATAAAGGTGCCTGTATCTCCAAACTTTACAATGAAACGTGGGGTTTTTATTAGAGCAGTGTGCTCGGCTTGGCCAACTGCACCTTGGGTGCCAGTTTCAAGTTCATCGTGGCTAATCCCAGATTTCGCAATGTCGCCACCAGCCAAACTGGATCTGGGGGTCGACGACGACAAAAAAATATTTTTTGGGCTAGTTGCGACATTGAACGTGAAACTTTCACACAAGGTGCTGTTGGCCAAGCTGAGCCCATTGCTCTAATAAAAACCCCACGTTTCATTGTAAAGTTTGGAGATACAGACACCTTTATGTTTGTAAGCATGATGCTATATGAAGAGTGGTCTTCGTTCAATGTCAAGTCGCTGGACCCTGGCAGAGCAAAAGATGCAGAGGGACCTCTTTGTGTAACTCAGCTACTTTGCATGACTAGAAGGATGGAAGGATGTGGTACATATACACACAAAACATGTGCATGATATGCCGGTTGCAAATGGTACTCACCCACCACCCACCATAATCGTATTTTTTCTTCTTTTACATAGGATCTTGTGGATGATGGAGATGAGGTTGTTGATCGTTGGCATGCAATACAATAGCCTTGTTGGTGGTACGTCGTCGTCAACAACATCAAAGGCTGCTGGTGGTGGAGGTGGTAATAATGGCAGTACAAGACCCATGCTCAAGAAGCAAGCATCATTTTCTTCCCTTTCAGATACACCCACTCCCAAGCAAACGGCAACACGACTTTTAGGTTTAGCACTGGATGCGCAACATGAGGACAAGGTATCTTCTCCATCCATCTACTCGCTCTGATTTGCTCCCCCCTTCTCATATCTTTTTTTAAAAATCCTCCGTGTTAGATCAGCATCACAGTTGAACTAGCTCTTGTAAAACCAGATCAAGCGTTAAAGTCAATGGTACGTTTTCACTCAGATTTGGGGGGGGATGCAAGGGAAATGAAAAAGTGGATAGGGCGTGTGTGTGTGTGTTTTCATGTCACTCACGAGTTTTCCTACACAAGCACAGATCCAATTGTATGAACCTAGCATGTTGATTGTGGGATATCGAAACGTGCAAGGAAAGCAATGTTGCTAGGCAATGGTAGCACAACACAAGCGATCATGAACCAAAGTTTGAAACATACGACAACCAACACCACGGTTGTTTTTGTACAATGTC